ATGAGCAAATGTATATAGCCTTTGTTAGGCCTGCTCATGTGCCTTCTATTTTTGTTGTACATAATGATTCTACCTTGCATGTTGTTTCCACCTCGGAAGCTACTTCTACCTCTACTAAATCCATCTCTAGTCCAAGTGATTCAGCTGCAAAATCTGTAGTCTTGGCTGCACTTATGCAATCTGGTATGCTGGCTCCTGAGAGTGATGATCCCCCTCAGGAAATCCCACCGGGAATCCGCAACCTTCTCAACCGGTTCCCTGAGGTCTTGGCCGAACCGCATGGAGTTCCCGTGCGACCGGTCCGACACAAAATCGAGTTGATTGAAGGTAGCAACCCTCCAAAAGGTTGTGTCTATCGAATGGGCTCAGGCAAATTGGAGGAGTTGCGACGACAGATTGATGAGATGATTGGGAAGGGATGAGTCAAACCCAGTGAGTTTGAATTTGGTGCACCAATGTTGTTTGTTCCTAAGAAGGGAGGCAAACTGTGGATGTGTATTGACTACCGCAGATTGAATAGAATCACAAGAAAGAATGCATACCCTTTGCCACGTATCGATGATCTGCTTGATGCTGCAGGTGGTTGCAAAGTCTTCAGCAAGATCGATCTCAAGTCTGGCTACCACCAAATTGAGGTTGAACCTGCAGACCAGCACAAAACTGCATTCAAAACTCGCGATGGGCTGTACGAGTTTACAGTTATGCCCTTCGGTCTCACGAATGCACCAGCCACCTTTCAAAGTCTCATGGACAAAGTGTTTCGCAATCAGATCAACCGATTTGTTGTTGTATATCTGGATGACATTCTTATCTTCAGCAAATCAATGGAGGAGCACATGAGACACCTTAAGGAAGTGATGCAGATCCTGAAGGACGCGAAGCTCCATCTCAACTTGGATAAATCTGAGTTTGGGAGGGACAGCGTCATCTACCTTGGACATCGGTTGTCTGCTGCAGGCCTAGAGCCCGAGGCAACCAAGGTTGAGGTCATCCAAAAGTGGCCCCAACCTGCGAATGTCCGCGAGTTGCGTTCTTTTCTTGGTCTTGCGTCGTACTACCGTAAGTTTGTGCCTAAATTTTCTATCATTGCCCATCCATTGTCTAGACTAACAAGCAAGAATGTGTCCTACGCATGGAATGAAGAATGCACGACAACCTTTGAAGCATTGAAAGAGGCTTTGGTGAGTCATCCAGTGCTCCGCATTGCAGATCCCAAGCTTACATTCGTAGTAACTACGGATGCGAGTTTGTATGGGATTGGTGCAGTGCTGCAGCAAGATGATGGCGATGGTTTACGTCCGYTGGAATACTACAGCAAAYGCAYGCCCAGCCACAWGGTAGCTGCCTCCASTTACATGAGAGAGCTCTATGCCTTGAGAGAGGCACTAGACCATTGGAAACACTACCTCTTGGGTCGCCATTTCAAAGTGTTCTCGGATCATGAGACTTTGAAGTGGATTCAGACACAGATAAACCCATCAACTACGCTGACCCGCTGGCTGCATGAGATTGATGTGTATGATTTCGAACTAAAACACAATAAAGGCTGCTATAATCATGTTGCGGATGCTTTGTCTCGCCACCCTGAGTACATGACTTGCCTAGTGGGTTCCTACGATCTTCGCAAGGACTTACAGAAGGAACTCATTGAGCACACTGCCAAGGATTCGGAACTCAGTCCCATCCTTGAGCAGATTCGGGTTGACCCTAGTAGTCAACCTGATTTCCATGAATGTAAGGGCCTTCTCTTCCGACGCTACGGTAAGCATAACCGGTTGTGTGTACCCAACCATGAGCCAATCATCACTCACTTCTTGGATTTGGATCATGGCCGGAGTGGACACTTCGGTGTTGAGAAAACATACGGGAAACTGTTGGAAAGGTTTGTGTGGCCTGGAATGAAAAGAATGGCACAAAGGTTTGTGGCTGAGTGTGAAGTTTGTCAGCGCATTAAGCCGTCTCGGCAGAAGCCCTATGGCCTGCTGCACCCTCTTCCTATCCCTGATGGCCCGGGTGAGTGTGTTTCCATTGACTTCACGGACATGGGGAAGAAGAGCAGAAACGGTTATTCACAAGTGATGGTGATCGTTGATCGGTTTTCGAAATTTCTAAATCTGATTCCCTTGCCACCTCACGCCCCAACTGACCTTGTGATCGATGAGTTCAACAAAAGGTACGTGCTACATTATGGSCCCCCGAAAACTCTCGTGAGTGATCGGGACACCAGGTTCATAAGCGCAGACTGGAAAGATTTCACCTGCCAGACCTATGACATGAAACTTAAAATGACGTCTGGGCGACACCCCGAAGCCAATGGACTGGCTGAGGAAATCAACCAGACCGTGATCCAGCTTCTGAGGGCTCTAATTGTACCTGATCAGAACTCTTGGGATGAGGAGTTGTCGATTGTGCATAGGTTGTACAACAACTCCATCCACTCCTCCACCGGGATGACGCCTAACCGGCTGCATCTTGGATAGAAAATCCGCAATCCTCTATCTTATCTGTTTCCTGATCAGCCACCTGGCCTAACACCTGGCCAGCCAGGCTACAGCGCCAAGTTCGATCGCCTACTCAAAGTTGTTGTCGCAGCTATGGAGAGGCGACGCAATGCCATGATTAAACATGCTAACAAGAAGCGCCATGCCATGATTAAACATGCTAACAAGAAGCGCCAGCCTGCACCATTCACAGTGGGAAGTTATGTCTGGGTCAAAATGTCTGAGTTTTCTGAAGAAGAAGGTGTCTCACGAAAGCTTCTTCCTCAGTACTACAGTCCGTGGCAGGTCTTGAACCAGATAGGGAGTGATTCCTTCGGTCCTTCCTACACGATTGATGTGCCTGCACATTTGCGCACATACCCAGTTTTTCACGTGTCAAAACTGTTTCCATATGAACCACCTGAAACGTTCAAGTACCGAGAGTCAATGATTCCCCGCGCAATCAATAGCGGCCATGAGGTTGATAGGGTTGTCGAACACAGTTGGAAGGGAAGAAACAGACAGTACAAAGTTCATTTTTTGTACCATCCGTTGGACGATTTCTATTGAATTGCTAGGAAAGACTTACTGCATAGTGCACCGCGTGTCGTTAATGCCTATGAACGATTGATAAGTCCTGAACAACAACCAAAGCTTACTGCTAACCTGACTCCTACGGAACACGCCCGATCTCTCTTTGCTATCTACGCCTATGATGCACTATGCAAGGACTCTGATTGAGTTACTCACTCGAAGGGACCTCGCTCTTGAGGGGGGCGTAGTGTAATGACCCGTCATAACACAGACTGAGAACACTGCTGATTTCTGAAGTTCTGCCAATGGAATGGATGCCTTGATGAGATTCCCGCGTTCTGCTGTGTTTTCTAAGTCTGTCTGTGTGTGTGTGTGCTTGTGACCTGCATGCCTGTCTGAGTGCTTGTTGGTATGAGTGTGTGTGGGACCCGCAAGGGCACTTGCTTGTTTGGTAGGCCCGTAGGGCCGGTGTCAGGCGGCCACAAGCAGTGCGCCGCCTGAAATCTACGGTTTTGAGATTTAGGCGCAAAGACGAGTCTGAGTTATAACGGTACTCTGGAATGACCAGACAACAGAAATTAGGGAACTCAGGGTACCCCTGATTTTGGGCGCACTGAACCTTACGAGTAACCCTCAAAGGTGGCGAGATGGGTGGCGGCACTCGGCCTATCTAGGGGATGTCATTTCTGGCCGTTCAGAGGGTTAGACCCAGTGTGGCCTGCCGCGGGGAGGCATCGCGGGAACTGACCTCGCCGCAACGTTTTTGCAGCATACGACCAGGGCCGAAATGAGGCCTCGAGTTTTTGACTATTTTGGTACCATAATTAAAGATGGGGAAAATGGATTAAGACCAGTAGGGGTGAAGGGAAAAACATAATGTTCCTTAATTTCTTTATTTTTCACGGCATTTAATACTATGGGAAATACCCTTGTTATTTTATATTCCCGGCATTCCCTGCGTCGCTTTCCCTGGTTTGCTTGATTACTAACATTACCGTAGTTGGGATGTTCTGAGAGCGGGAGTCGCATGGAAAACATGGGGTGGTGCTACCTTAGGCCGACAGTATGGTATTTGGCTCGGTACGGATACACGGTTCGGAGAGGCTCGGTATTGTTATGGAGTGGCCGCGTCCTACGGTATCCGACATGCATGTGGTTCGGTATGGGGACGGCGTCAGTTTGTTTCAGGGTAGAGACCATTACGGTGACTTATTTTCCGGTCCGCGGCCACTGCAGCAATTTATGTCAGGCTCGGGACTGTCACGCCGATTTATTTTCAGAGTCGACACCCTCACGGTGGAATGTGTCAGGCTCGGGACTGTCACGCCGATTTATTTTCAGAGTCGACACCATCACGGTGGAATGTGTCAGGTTCGGGACTTTTACGGTTGTTTACTTCTGCTTCGGACACGTCGGCGTGACCCAATATCAGGTTCGGGGTGGCCCTGGCGGGTTATTTCAACTTTGGGACAACTGCGGTGAATTATTCTCAGGACGGGGGCCACTACAACAGTTATTCCAGGTTTGGAACCTTGGCGACAGTATGTTTTCAGGTCCGGACACATTGCAACATTCTATATTAGGTTCGAGACTATCACCGTGGGTTATTTTCCAATCAATCATCACGGATATTTACCTCACAGTTGCGGCATCGCCACAGTGACTTATTTCGGGTTCGGCACTACCGTGGCGGCGTATTTCAGCTCCGACACTGTTACGGCTGCTTAGTTCAGGTCCGGGGCAGGTTCGGCGTTACCCAGGTAAGGCGGGGCCCTACGGTATTCAGTGTGGGCAGGTGCGGCCTCGTACTGGGGCGGTATGTTTCGGGGTTGGCACCGTCACGGTGATTTACTTCAGGTGCGACATTGACGCGGCGTTTATTTCAGGTTCGAGACAGTATGATGGCAATTCAGCCTATCTGATACGGTACAGTGGTACTTGCGCTGCGGCTGTCGCGCACAGAGAGAGGCCGCGAGTGGGACTAAGTGGGGAGCGGGCCCTCAGGCACACGTGCAAGGTGTACCCCGCCTCAGCAGGTACGAGGGGGAGTCCACGCCCAGGCGGTTGCAGCAGGCAGGGGCGAAGTGGCCCCGGGTGGACGACTGAGCCTGGTAGCATATGGAGAGGAAGGCTGGGCTGAGGAAGGGGGGATTCGGTGTGTGCAAGGTGTACCCGCGCACTAGCGCAGCGCGAAGGGGGGAACGGTCAGACGGAGGCAGCCTGCAGGAGCATGCAAGGCGTACCCAGCCACCTCGTGACTCGACGCAGCCAGTTGCACGTAACGAAGACGAGGCGAGCTTGGATGGGGGAATGCACGGCGTGCGCAGGAGACGAGGGGGGGAGTGACTGTGTGCATGCACGCACGGGAGCAGAGAGCGGGGATATTGGGAGAAAGGGAAAGTGAGAAAGAGGGCGAGTAGGAAAGAAATGGTGGGTGAGAGGTGAACTCGCCTGGAGTCATGAGAGAAACGCATGTGAGAAGAGAAGAAAGTCTGCTTGTTTATTTTCTCACAGCCACGCACCTGGCCATGGATGAGCCCAGGTGCATTTTGAATTTGGAACCAGCTATCTGATCCGTTGGTGAGAGAAGTGAAACTGGCTATGTGCACGCGTTGGAGCAGCAAAGCAAGAGCTCGCCTATGACTGGAAGAGGAAACGCGTGTGTTGAAGAGARAGAGAGTCACTCAGAACGGCTGCGGGCAAGGGGAATCCTACTGTTGTGATGAACCCAAAGGATGATGACGCAGTGTAATTTTTGTCCAGTGCTCTGAATGTCAGAGTGACGAGGTTCAACCGAGCGAGGGAAAACAATAGGAGTATCTATGGCTCTTGAAAGCCAGTCTGAAGCCACGCCATCTAATTTGAGGCGCACATGGATGGAATAACGAGATTTCCACTGTCCGTATCTGCCACCCTGCGAAACTACAGCCAAAGAGAACGGGCTTGGAAGAATTGGCGGGAAGAGACGCAGATGACCCTTTCGAGCACACAGCTATAAGAATTTTCTGCATGTATCTCACTGCAATAATTACGGGCAGTGCTGGATGTATGCGACTGCAATTGCATCCAGAATCAGTCGAACCTTACCATGTGTATGGCCCCATGAGGATGAACCGGCCAAACAGATTGACCGGGGGGCTCCTTCCACGTGGCAGGCTCACAAAAAGAGAACAAAAGAATGAATGCACCTGTCCGTGTTTGGCTGAAGACTCGTCTTATTTTCCCCCTATTGAGTGCCCTGCCAGCAACGAAAATGGTGGTGTATCATTCCGTGACCTAGAAGGAGAGATGTCCTCTTCTCTCCATTAGGTAAGTGACGCTGCACGTTGCAGAAAGGAAAAATAAAATAAAATAAAAGAATAAAATACTGCTGTGAATCTATCCATGTTTCTGCTGAAGATTCATTTCCTTTCCCTCATACGGTGACTGATCAACCGGCGCGTGGCACACTAAGTCCTTGTGCTAACACACACACACACACAGGGAGAGAGAGAGAGAGAGAGAGAGAGAGAGAGAGAGAGAGAGAGAGAGAGAGAGACAACAGGAGAGAGGGGAGACTGACAGGGCAGCAGAACGAGAGAGAGAGAGAGAGAGAGAGAGAGAGAGAGAGAGAGAGAGAGAGAGAGAGAGGCAGCCCCGAGACAAAGAAAACACAGGGAGAAGGAAAGCTTGTCATTGAGAGAGAGGCGAGTTAGAAAAAGAAGCCAGCCTCCTAGCAAACGGGACTGTACGAGGTCTGTCAACAAGGCTGATTGGCGAAGCCAATCTAGAGAAGCTTGAGCAGAAAACGAACGTGGCAGATTATGGGACGGTGTACCGTTCCATCCCTCGACAACAGATACATTGGATCTGTCCAATCAGGAAGCGTCTAATTACCGTTCCATGCGTCATTTACAGATACATTAAATCTGCCCAATCAAGGAGTGTCTAATTACCGTTTCC